CCCCCCCCCCCCCCCTCTCACCCCCCCTCCCCTTCCCCCGCCCGCCGCTGCAGCGCCAGACTGCTTAGTCTGCAATAATCCGCAGCCGCACGTCCCCGCGCTGTCTGGCGGCCGGGCCAGCGACCGCCCCGCCGACGGCCGCAGCGCGCGGCGCGGGAGGCGGCGCCCCCCCGGGCGCTGAGGGGAGCGGCGAGCCGCGGCGGCCGTTGGTGCCCTCGCGCCGCACCGCGCGCGCGGGGCCCGGCGCTCCCCTGGCGGCGGCACGGGCGCGGGGTTGGGCGGCGGCCAGACGCGGAGCGGAGCGGGACCGGCGCGCTGAACAGCCCGCGGACCGCCGCCAGCGCCCGGGAGCGGAGCGGCGCGGGGGAGGGAGTAACCACATACTGTAATAATAACCCTGCGGCAGCGGCTGCAAAGGGCATCTGAGGAGAAGGGGAGGGAGACGGAGGCGGCCGCCCGTCCGCCCGCCGCTTCGCTTCGCCCGCGCCCGTCTGAAAGAAAATGGTGGGCGGGAGCAGGGAGCGCCGCGCCGCGGGCCGAGGGGCTGCGACCCGCGGGACCCCGAGAGCCGCCCCTCGATGGCGGGCGGCGCGCTGCGAGCCGAGCCCCTGCCCCGCGCTGGGCTCTTCAGCCGCGCTGCGTGCCGCAGGTGCACGGAGCCCGCGGCCGGGACGAGGCGGCGGGGCGGGGATCGCCGCAAAGTCCGGCTCCGGACCGTGCGTGCCTGCGGCGGGCTGAGGAGAGGCCGGGCGCGCAGCCGGACCGCACTGCGCGTCCCAGAGTGACCGTGAGCGGACCTGATCCTGAGCGGATTTGCAGAGTGAGGGGGGCTGAGTGAGGGGACCGAGCGAGGCAAAGGCAGCCAAGCGGAGCGCAACATGGTGGCTCGGGAGGCAGCACAAAGACTCCCGCGGTGACGGCACCGAGAGGGGAGTACAGCACTTCGGTAGGGAGATGATACGCCGCTAAGTAGCTTTACCTCTTTATGAGCTACATGGTAAAAAAGAGAAACAAGCGCCCCGTCACCCTGCAGCACGTGCAGCTGTCTTCCTTAAGGTCGAAAGAGCGCAAAATCATACATGCTGCAGGGTAGGTGAAAGTTCAGCCTTCTCCGTTTCGTGTTTTTTGAGCAATGTTTTTCAAGTTCACTTCTAACAAACGCCCCACAAAACTGCACTTTTTGATGGTCCACACTGCATTTCCATTTGTTTGATGTAGAGTACATGCTTGAACGTCTCTGCATCCCCCCGATCAGCTGCCACTCCCCTGACCGTGCCCTGCAAGCATGCCAGCTTATGGAGACTTGCAAGTGGAGGGAGAAAAGTGGGACACAAGCAGCCCCTGATACTTACATCTGTGATGAGCTGTGATAGTAATTCTAACTTCAGTGCACTAGGCTCAGATTGTTAGCCACTTAGGGCGCATTACTGCATCATGTAATTATTCCATTTCCTGGAACGAATTTCCTCAAAGAAACCAGAGTATCTTCTGTCCCCTCTGTTTTCTGCTGGATTTCACATAACCACTCTGCTGGCACACACAGTTTCACCTCAGAGACAGAGCTACTCAGTGCCTTTCCAACAGTCTCTACCTTTTCCTACCTCCCATATGTGGCTTTCTGGGAGATCTCCTCCTTAAAAGGAGGGACAGTTCTATGTTCTCATTCACTGGAAACACTCACACCTTTTCTCTGCTGTTGGCAGTATGGAAATGAAAATCTACAGAAATTCATAATTACTACTTCTTGTGGGTGTTCTCCCGTCTGCCTCCTCCATGTGTTGTCACCCATCAATTATTAGGCCTCTATCGCACTAGAAGTTGAACATCTAAGCTCCATCTTGAGGTGGTGAAGGAGCATTCTTCTAACAATTTCCGGAAAAGCAGATGTGTAGATGTCCCAGTGAAAGTAGAAGCCATTCACTTGGGTAAAAGAAAGAGTTCCCTTTGGTTTATGTTCATTTCCTGGCCTGGGTGAATGTGTTTCCCAGCTGGTGAAGCGTCAGTAATAGCCACTGGGGAATTAAACTTTGTGTCAAGTGGGTAAATATGAGGGAGGTGAAAGGCTTGCATCAAGGAAGCTGCTACAAAGTTGGAGTAGACAATGTTGAAATCATAGAATCATAGAATCACCAAGGTTGGAAAAGGCCTACAAGATCTTCCACTCTAACCATTCACCTATCACCAGTAGTTTTCACTACATGGGTTGAACATGCCAATAAAAGGCACACTGGATATTACGTGGGATTTCCTGTAAAGCTGTGGGGAGAGAGATGAGATCATGCAGGTTGTGAGCTCTCAACTTAGAGCTTCAGTATCTTTGTCCCTCTTCAGCTGCTTCAAAACCCTGTGAGAACAACTCCTGTAGGTGTTGTTCTATATGTATGTCCTCACCTAAAAGAGAACTGCTGCAGAAGGGATAAAATGTATGATAACAATGACTGTTTTCATTTCAGTCAACAGTAATTTATGATTTCCAGACTGGCAGCTGTGCACTTGAAAAACAGCAGCCACAACACCAGTGCGGGCCTAAGACTCTAGGACATGTACTACAATGATCTGACAGCATAAGCAGCAGGAAAAACAACAACAACAACAACAACAACAACAAAACCAGCCAGATACAGTGGCTTGCATGCATGTCACTCTTCCTCTGCAAACACCATTCCTGATCTAACATAGGAGTGCTACTCTGAAACATACAGCTTCTGTGATCTGGTTAATTCCAGCAAGCTGCAGCCAGGTTGGGTGGGATCCTGGCCAGCCTGATCTAGACCTTGCCCACAGCAGAGCATTGGAACTAATTGGTCTTTAAGATCCCGTCTAACCTAAGCTATGAATCTGTGATTTTCTGTGTTTAAATCATAGCAGGGCACAGCTTAACTCTTAAAAAAACTGTGGATATGTGGGAAAAAAAGCCACCAACACAGTATATCTCCTTTTATATCTCCTACCTGACAAGTCTATCGAGTATCTTCTAATTCTTATGTTTGAGTAAAACTGAATTATCATTCCCCAGACAGAATTTACAATTCCCACTGGCTTTAGAGAAAGTTAGAACACTTAAAACTTGGATTGACTTGTCAGTGCTTCAGTTGTACATCTGGACTATAAAAGTGTTCATAGCAATATCTACATGCTGAGAAAATGGCATCATCTGAGCTCAAAAGAAGAACCTGATCTGGAGTACATGGCATTCATTTTCATGTAACAGTAGCATTGGGTTGGGATTTTTTTAGTTGTTTGTTTATTTGTTTGTTTTCTATTACAGTGACACTATTAAATGAAGTTCTGTGGAGTATGGTACGATATGTATTTCACTGCCAAGTTTTGTTTCAAACAAACTACATTCAACAACTTGAAAAAAAAAAAGAAGTACAAAGGAATTTACAGTTGGGCTTTGACTCATTGCAAATCCAGGCGCTTAAAAGCAGAGGGAGCACGTGTAGTTTTAAGAGTGACTTAAAATGTCACTCTTAAAACTGAAATGATTGTTTTGCCAACTGGGAGAAAGAACTAGCATGTCCCCCCTGAAGAACGATGTGAAGAGCAGAAAGAGGAGACAGCAGAGAAAGTGTTACATGTTATCAATATTCAGAATGCGTGTTACAATGCTGATCATGGGATTTGTTGTTGTTAGTAGCCATCTAGATCAAATTCCAACACAACAGCGATTTGAATCATACATGTATACTCTGCACAAAACATTTCCTAACTTAGGCTGACACTCTTCATATGTTATTTTGATATATGCACTTGCAATGTTGCTCTAGCTGCATTGCTTAAGAAACATGAGATGAAGCCCAGCTCTGTAACTCACATTACATACTGTAGCATTTATTCACAGTAATCGTTGCACAAAAGACTGTATTAAATGCTGTTCTAAGTAACAGTTCAAGAGATGAGTTCTTCTATTCCATTCAATTAAATAAACACTGTCTGTTTCATTTGAATTCATGAGTGTTCATTTAATTAAAAATGTAGTTTTTGTGTTATAAGACAAGATTTCCATTTTTTTTTTCAGCAACTTAATGAGAATCTCCTAGATTAGTTTTGTCAACACTTGAGAAGGATGAAATCAGGTTAGGCTTAGCTATAAAGATGAGTTTAAAATTAAATTTATTTTGACTGGATTGCAAGAGCTGAGTATCATTTGCTTGAAACAGGATTAGAAGCTAGGTGTTTGATCTGAATCTGTTCTGTCAGCTTACTTTCAAATGTCTGGATTTTGACTTTTTTCTCACTACAGTGGAATCACATACAAACAATCAGAGATATTTAATCTAGATTAAATACAAGAATGTTCAGGATCACCGCTGCCAATTGTGCTGACAGTTTCTATAATCTGGACATACTGTGTTACTATCCTGTTATTGTCACTACATTGGAAAATATTCAAGTACCCCTGGTATTTTTTTCCATTTCTGACATGGAAAGAAGGGTCTATAAAAGTAATCACAAAAGTGAACACAATTTGTGGCAGACACAAACGTAAGTATTTCTGTTTGAAGAATATACAAAGGAAAAAAGTCAACCAACGTATCCAACTGTACTTAGGACCCCTTAATTCTGCAGAATAGGCCACAGCATTTTCTATAAGTATTTCAGCCCTTGTATCAAGAAAATGTGAAGTAGTGGAAGTGACAAGTATGGACATTTTTAACACTTTCTCTTTGATAATTTTATATCATAGTTTCTTTTTCTTTTTCTTTTTCTTTTTTTTTCTATTTCAAAAACCTACAGGGCAGTTCCGGAACTTAAACCCATTTGTTTTATTCTGCGGAGAAGAGTCCTGATTCTGTTTCCCAATAATACTCCCATTCATTTTGG